TCCAAGACACTACAGACTTTCTACGGAAACTTAAAAACATAGACCACCTTCCCAGCAAAACCCTCCTAGCCACCATGGATGTTACCAGCTTACCAACATCCCACACCAGGATGGCATCCAAGCCTGCCTTACGTATCTACAAAGCAAGATTACAATTCAGAATACAGACCCAAAGATATTACTGACCTTGTACACTTCATCCTCACACACAACAATTTCACGTTAATAACCAACACTTCCTCCAGACCATGGGCACAGCTATGGGCACCAAAATGGCCCTACAGTATACCAACCTTCTTATGAGCCACCTGGAAGAATTCTTCAAGGGCTGCACCATCAAACCCTTGCTATACTTAAGATATATCAATGACATCTTCATTATTTGGACTGAAAACATGCAATCTCCGATTGAGTTACATCAGAAATTCAACAATCAACATCCCTCCATCCGACTATCTTTTGAATACTTGAGCACCAACATCTCCTTTTTAGACACGATGATCAGTATCCAGACTAGTAAAATACAGACCACGTTATACAAGAAACCCACAGGCTAACATACACATTTGCACAGAACCAACAATCACCCTAAACACACCAAACCTGTGATATACAGGCAAGCCCTCAGATACCACCGAATTTGCACTGAGAACACCTGGGATTGCTACCTCACCAATCTTAAAACGGCTTTCATACAATAAGGACACTCCTGCAGAGAGAGAGAGATTGCACGTTTGAAAGAGCCACCCAGATACCACATGAAGAACTGCTGCAGTACAGAAGAAACACCCCGCCCCGGATCACACACCACTGGTTACGACATATCCCTCTCTCAAACCCATATGGAAAATCCCCAAACAATTGCAACCCATACTAGAAAGAGACCCTGTTCTTCCCAGAACCATGCGCCCTAGCCTTCAAACAAGCATCGAACCTTGCTAACCTCATCACCAGAAGCAAACTTCCTCAAGCCCAGAACACACCAAAAGGATCCAGACCGTGCCATGACAAGAAATGCAAAACCTGACAACACATCCACCACCCCCACAATTACTACACCCCACAACAGAGCCATCAGCATCCCTGCATCTAACAGCTGCACCTCCAGAAATGTAATATATTTCACCAAATTCCCTGATGGAAAATACGTAGGAGACCGCAAACAACAACTGCGCACCAGAATGAACGCACAACAGAAATCTATCAAAGACAGAAATACCCAATTACCTGTGGGGGCACATTTCTCACAAGGAAACCACTCTCTCTCCAATCTCTCTGTCCTGATCCTCAAAGGGAACTTATAAAACAGTTTTCAGAGACGAGCCTATGAATTTCACTTCATCAACCTCCTGGATACAAAAAATCATGGACTAAATATAGTCATTGGATTTATGACACATTATAACTTGCCTGACATCTGATTCCCCAGGTATCTCTCCATTATTTAACTGCTACATTCATCCCCCTTCTCCCCCCCACCCCCCAGCCTCTCTCTCACCTACTGACTCCTCAACTCACATCTTCACTGACTGCCTGTCTCACATGCATACCAGCCTCTGGCTTCTTTACTATTCTTTCCATCCAGGAAGAGCACACACCAACTGCAGAAACTTCCTTAGCCTGACGAAGGGTTTTTAAACCTGAAAGCTTGCCAATATTTTTTTCCCCCCCAACTATTTAAGTTGGTCTAATAAGAGATATCAGATTCATCCAAAGACGTTTGTCTGCCTATGTCTTTATACTAACATGGCTACAACCTACAGCCCTGAAGCATTAAAGATACAATCCTTCAATCTTCAGTTAGAACTAACCCTAGTCATAGCCTTTGCATGAAAGATTCCAGTTCCCCTATTCTTTCATATGTAGCAGAACTGTTATTTGGTTCCCTTTTACTCAGACTGGTTCTCTCTCTGTAGAGCTGGTCATTATTTGTTCCCCAATGAATTTGTTTTTGTTTGTTTATTTTTTGCCAAAAATATGAATGAATTCAAACAGAATACTTTTATAATTCTGTGTTGATTTTTGGCACACCTGGCAGTAAATCATTTTTGTAGCAACACAAAAAGTTTTATCAACCATTTTTTTTTTGTTTCATTTCAGCTGTGCCATGCCATTTTACCCTAATACCAGCAAATTCCACTTCTGTCATATGTTGCTCTGTGTTCATTCACTGGATGTTTTCACATTATTTCTAGTAAGGTTAAGTATAGCCACTTGAAGTTGTATGTCTCTAGTGGGTTATGGAATAGAGAAAATCCCACACAACTTACTGATTCGTTTGATGCACTGGCTGGGGGAGTAGTTAGTTGATTGCATGATTACACAATGATTGCACACTTAATTCATACAACACAATTTTATTTTAAAATTCTTTGCTATACATATAACACTGTAAAGAAATACCACAAACATTAAGAACACAATAAGTACATATATCAGAAACAATGCTCCCAATGCACTTCCTTAAAACAATTACAATTACAACTCAAAGTTAAATTTGAATCAATACTATTATTTTTCATGATATACTTACAATTCTAGAATTCCGAGAAGCCAAACACCTAAATATGGTTTCATTCCTCAGTAGTACAATTTAATGGGTTGGCCTCAGTAGTACAGTTCAATGGGCTCGCCTCAGCAATACGATTCAATGGGCTGGCCTCAATACTGATAGGACTAAGTCCCCTTCCTTCAGTCCCTTTCGGGTGCTCTGCAGCTTCAGCGTGAACTAAGAGATTCGTGTTCACTGAGAGGGTGGTTCAGGTAATCAGTCTGATCCGGCCTACACTTGTGATTCTTCCTTTGTTGTTCTGCAAGTGAGGTTACCTCCAAATTGGGACAGTAGGTTACAGTTTTTATTGAGTGAGTTGCCATCTTGGGTCCCTCCTACCCAAACCTGTCACTACTCCCAAATTTGGGCTCAGATCTTACTCAACAGATTCTTTTGCTTGGTAATCAGTTTCTTTTGTTGACCATGTTAATTACTTTGAGGAATTTCCATATCACTGAATTGACTTTTATTTCCAATCTTTTAAAAGGCTCCTACGGTTTGATTTCTCAGAATGTGGGTGTCATGGCGGGGTCCTCCAGGAGGGCCGTGATCTCCTTAAGGCCCCCTCTTCCATGCCAAGTTGGCCCAAGGGCACCCTCTATATCTCGCCCACCATGTCTTTGATGTTTAGGTAAAGTTGGGAGGCTGCCTCACGTCTCCTTGGGCACGGTTAGCTGGGACCTCTGTCCCCGTGTTTTCCCGGACCCACCGGGGGTCTCCCTGGATGATGGGTGCTTCCCAGGCACCCTAGCCTTATGGGCTACGCGTGGCTTCAACCACCCCTGATACCACGCCCCAAGCCTCGCAGATGGGATAGACATTGGTCTGTCTTTCTATACGTACACTACCCATCTCTCGGGCCTCTTCCATGCACTCGCCCACTCTCTGGGGCCTCCTGTGTACACTCGCCCGCTCTCTGGGGCCTCCTGTGTTGTGGAGCCCACTGGGGCCTCCTGTGTTGTGGAGCCTCCTCTGTCTCCGAGCCCACTCGGGGCCTTCCCTGTAATGTCGCCCCCCCCTGTCTGGGGCCTGCTACGCCTGCGCTGGGGCTTCTTGATAATGCCCCCTTTCCGGGGCTCTCTCTGCACCCACACTCGGGCTTCTAAAAGACCGCCCCCTGTCTGGGGCTCTCTGTACCCACTCTGGGGACTTCTCAGCTATGCCTCCTGACTCTCGGGCCCACTGCGCTGCTACCCCCTTCTCCCAGGGCTCACCGCACCACTACTCCCTCTCGCTGGGGTTCACTGCAGCACTTCACCCTTCTCCAGGGTTTACTGCAGCGCTAAGCCCTTCTTCAGAGGCTCACCGCACCCGTGCTGGGCTGCTCAGTAGTTCCCTTTCTCTGGAGCTTGCTGTGCCCACGCTGGGCTTCCTAATAATACTGCCCCCTTTCTGGGGCTCACTGTGCCCACGCTGGGCTTCCTAATAATACTGCCCCCTTTCTGGGGCTCACTGTGCCCACGCTGGGCTTCCTAATAATACTGCCCCCTTTCTGGGGCTCACTGTGCCCACGCTGGGCTTCCTAATAATACTGCCCCCTTTCTGGGGCTCACTGTGCCCACGCTGGGCTTCCTAATAATACTGCCCCCTTTCTGGGGCTCACTGTGCCCACGCTGGGCTTCCTAATAATACTGCCCCCTTTCTGGGGCTCACTGTGCCCACGCTGGGCTTCCTAATAATACTGCCCCCTTTCTGGGGCTCGCTGTGCCCATGCTGGGAGCCAGGGTCCTCACACTCCACTGTGAGGCCCCTTTAAGGATACTGCACCCTTACTGGCGCCAGGGTCCCCATGCCACTGGGGGTTCCCCCTGAGTATGCTGCGGCTGCTCTGGCACTGGGGTCCTCACCCTTTGTTGCGAGTCCCCCAATGAGTACGCTGCACCCGCCCTGGCACCGGGGTTCCCCCACCACTGGGGGTTCCCCTCCAAGGCCTCCTCCAACCCCTTATAGCCCCACCCTAGCCACCGGTGTAATACGTAACAACATAAACTCGAGCCTCCTGGCTATAACTCAAACACACACCCTCTGGATATAACAACAGAAGTCACCTGGCTATAACTTAGCATCATTGCTCAAGCCTCCAGAGCTATCATGAGCTGTACTTGCAATCAGGCTTCTTCCCACATCTTGGCTGAGGGAGCTCCTGCCTCTCTGGCTGCTGGCAGAGAACTGCCAGCCTGGCCTCAGCCCTGGGCTTTATGAGGGCCAGGCCCTGCCCCCTCTGGTCAGCTGACTTCCTGGTTGCCCTGGGCAACCCGCAGCTGTGCTCGTTATGTCCTGCCAGGGCTCTCTCCCTGGCAGTTTCCACTCTCTAGGAGCAGGGCACCAAGGTGCCCTGCGACAGTGGGATGTTTGCTTAAGGGTCATTTTTAGGTTAACTTTGTTAAAGGCCTCTAAAGATAAAATTCAAAAGTTAAGACTTTGAGCAAAGTCAGGACCTTCCGCATGTAGACCAAAACAATGGCCTAGATAAGAAGATGAATCTCGTCTTCTTTCTAAACTGGCTAATGGGCAACTATTACAAACACTCAAACTGTTTCATTAAATATGACATTGTAGTTCAAGGCAGTTTCTCCTTGTGACTAAGGATTTCTTTATGCTTGCTTATAGCTTGGAAGCAGAGCAAAACTGTTTTTGGAAGGAGCTCTCTCAGCATTACTGGATAGTCAGGTCAGGTATTCTTGCTCTGACCCCTGAACCTGTGCTGGCTGACTGTATTGCTGTACTGTTTTGCAAGGCTGTGGTTATTCATTGATTTCATTGCGTACCATGAAGCCTGTCTACTATTCTGCAAGGTGAAAAAAGGAACTGAAAAGCAAAAGTTGCTTGAAGGTGTGGACTCACCTACGTTTAAAGTAGTTTCAAAAGGGGAACATTTCAAAAGGGCATGCTACAAATGTAGCAAAACTGCTCCTACTTTAACACTGCTTAATACAGTGTGTACATACCCTGAATCAGACAAATGAGAGAAACTGATGTCAGATACAGATATCGGTTTAAGCAGCAATGTCACCCATCATTCACAAAGTTAGCACGAGAACTGTTGCTGGTTAATCTGGACAAGTGCAGCTGTGGAGCACTTCAGAATGAAAAAATAAAAACAACCCTATCTGAAAGCTTTCTGAGGCTAGAAACAGATGTTGCCAAATGAGGTGTCTTTGCACAGCTGATCTGATTCATCTTGCAAAACACACATTGCCTGTTGTTCCATCTGTTGATGCTGTGGGACAATGGGTGATGTGTAATCCTAGTCCTGTGCCTCAGGAATTCCCAAGATTAAGTCCCTCAAACCCTGGAAGAGCCTGCCTCCAGGCAACTTTTTGCAAGAGTTTTTCTGTGTAATGAGGTGTGCCTCCAGGATCTCTATGAGTAAGGACACCCTGACTTTCCCCACTTACTGAGACATGCATCAGAGATTCTGGTGACACTTCTCAGTAAGCAGGGAAAGCCAGGTGGGAGTTCCCAGGGCTTGAGGGACCCAGTTCTGCACAGAAATTCTCAGGGTGCACAGGATTGGGCCCCTCAGGTCCCTGGAGCACCTCTCTGGGCAGCTGGAGAGCATGGGCAGCTCAGGCCTGCCAGCATTTTTTGCACTGTAAAGTAACAATAAATACCAGCAAAACTTGACACTGCTTTTGTCATGGCTACGAATTCTGGCCATCTGTGGTGTGACAAGGGTTATTGATGTCTTTTTGCTTGGCCCTTGTGCCACCATAAACATTTTTACAGGAGCATAAAGGTGATGAAAGGCAACATCTTTTTCTATCCTATGTGGAGAAACTACATGAACCTTACAAATCATCAAATGTTGCTTTCCTCCAGGCAGACAGTTTATCTCAGGAGGACCCTGGGACAAATTTGACTAGTTGGAGTATAGGATGCCAGAATGTAAGTGAAAGGAAGAATGAGTTAGTGCATCCCAAGTCAGTCCAATGCCATGCGAAGCTGCTTCTTTTGAACCCCCACAGCTGTAGGATTCTCAGCTCATTTTACTAGTGTGATTGACTTTGCTAGTTCTGCTTGCAGTTGTTAAGGTAAGATCACTGGACTCAGTTTAGTTGGGAAAACTAGAGATGAACCAGGCAGTTCTTCCACACACAGTGTAACTCAGCAGTAACCTTCACTTGCTCAATCCCCAAACCCCCTTCTGCAGGTGATAAAAAAGAAATCTGAGTTCTTTGGTGCTGGTAAATTCTCTGCATTGCACCTGCAGTTTAACAGTCAAATGTCTGCAGCATTTGCACAGGTTCTTTTGCATATACTCATTGCATCAGTGACACCAATTTCCCTTCTGTTTCCTTTACAAAAACATGCAGAGGCTTCAGAGGCTTCTCAGTTTCTATGCAAATACATAATGGAAGAGAGAGAGTGCTGTCTCAACGTAAACAATTTCAACAAAAGCATTCAGTTTTGTGTAGAGTGCGGTGTTTCCTCTTTTTTCTGGACTTCTTTCCTGGTTCACAAAACAAAGGAAGGAAGCTGTCCCACTCTGTCCCCTGTGCCCCCGCCATCATGGTGGTGCTCCACTGCACCACCACCTCCTGTCCAAATGTTTATTCGCACTCTGATCGGCTGTTTCAGTCAGACAATCGGAGTGTTATGGACAGACAGACAGATTAAGGCTTTTATAATATTAGAATATATAACCAGAGGCATGCAATTAGCATTAATTAACTTGAATAACAAATTCAGTTTAATGTGTTGACCCTACACTTTCACTTTTCTGTAGATGTTTGTGTGTAAATGCAGAGCTGCTTTGTAGAAGCTGAAGGTTTTCACAAAAGCAAAAGATGTTTGGGGGTTTGGGCACCTAACAAAGCAGTTTTAGATTGTGGCCTTTTTACATTAACTAGATCTCCCTGCTAAAATCTCTCCCATAGAAATAATTATTTTTCACATTTAAATCATCATTGTCACAATTCAGGTTACAATGAGGGCAGTCAACAGTACTGTTATTATTTCAGGTAATCTTTGAACTCGGGCAGACTTTACTGCTTCAGCTATCCTCAGGTCCCAATTGGAGGATTTTATTTTTCAATCACAAGGGCTAGGAATTGTGTGCTCGGATTTGAAGGCACAGTTCTAGGAGAAGGTCCGGCTTCTACAGCAGATTCCACAGATATAGGAGAGGATGACTTGACTACAATAGAAGTCCACCAGAAACTAGGTACCTTAACATTTCCTGATGCCCAGGAGAGTCAGTTTAGCTTCTGCTGTGGAAAATACTGCCTGAGAGAAATAAATCAGGATTGGAAGGCTGAGAGTAAATTTATACAGCTAAGCTTTCAATGAGCATCAAACGCTTAAACCTTCATTTCTACAGAAAGAGCGAATGTTGAAACACTGAATTGTGGTATCACTGGATTAATTAAACAGAGATGTTGTTCAGATTCTTAATTACTGTTTAATTTGTGCTACCGGCATTACTCTAGTGCTCTGACATTTAAAGTTCCTGTTGTCAACAAGTTCTACCCACTCATGACCTATTTTATAGCAACTGGAATCTTGTTATACACCAAGTTAAGGTTCAGATTCTGGCAGTCATTTCTTTTTTGGTCCTAGATCCTTCAAATGAAATAAACGCTTCAAACCTTTAAAAAAGAGAGAGGCCTGTGCTGTTCTAGATCCCAATTTAGCCTACTTAGCGAAAGTGTATGTACACGCAGTGAATGTTTTATATACACCTGTGTGTTCTGATTTTATCATTTGGTTTCAACTCTCCAACGTCAAGCAGTGTCAGAGATGAGCTCTCAAAGTGCAGTCACGAGGAAGTGAAGTCAAGGGGAGTTTTGCTATTGCTTTAGGTACAGCCAGGCTTTCACCTCTGAATGCGGGACTGCCAAGGAATAACTAGCGAA